TTGATGTGTTACCAGGATTTTTTGTGGTTTCAGCTGTTTTTGTTGTCCGCAGTGCTTGCACAGTCTTGCCAAGTGGGTGTATGCCTGGAGCCAAAAAAAGAGCAGTACACTGTTTCACTTATCTGTGGTTTTATAAGCCTTTTCACTCAAGTCACAAATGATGTTTAATGTTAACAGAAGTGTGCTGTAAACACATGTAAACACACCCAACAGTAGGACGTTTAAACAGGTGAGACGTGAACAACCAGAAGTAAGCATAACTATTTTTTAAATGTATTTACTTGTATATAGACTCTTCTTGCACTATTTCTATTTTATTTGACTTGCACATCTCAAAACATTCTCTAAACTTTAGCGTGGCTGTTTAATGGTAGCACATATTCCTTGCAAATATAATTCATCCAGTTTCATTAACAAAACATTGGTTTTAACGCTACCCATGAATCTTTGTGCATCAGCGTAAAAGCTAGGCTAACGATATTGAGCACATGTGGAGCACGATTGAACAGACTGACATTAGTTTAACATCATTAAAAAGTTGTTCATTTGACGCATGTTTCGTTCTTGTTTGACTCAATGTTACCTGTTGAGATGTTCATCAGGTTTGATTGTGATAGTTTTTCATGGTTGAGTGTATAGCCATGTTTCACATAAGTTAAGGTTTATTATGTCTGTTGTATCATGTGTTAAAATTACAGTCACTTGTTTCCGTCTGTCCATCGCAACCGTGTTTTATTTGTACCTTATCAATCTAATTCAGAGCCCCTTTACTTCCGGCAGCTGTGGCCGTTTCGTCATCTCGAGGAAACGGCTTCCAAGCCAATTTTTTCCAAAGGATGGCTACGTCACGAAGGCCGCCGAAGGACTGTTCCAAATCTCCAGCATACTTGGAATTCCACGAGGCCCACGTCTTGGTTTGGGGGGAAATTGCGAGCAAAGCAACATGGGTAGACTCTTGTTCGCCGTCCTTTAAAAAATCCCAACAATGCTTGCGGCACGGACCAATTCAAAAACCCTTGGGCGGAGAATGCTGAACCGACGCAGCACAACATTTACAATTGACAGAAGTAGTGCGT